GTTGATTTTTAAACATTTTCTCAAATATATATCTATATACTGTACTAGGTTTTTTTAATGTTTGACACCATTGTGTTTGCGGCAGAAAGAGCTTTCAAATTATACTCATCTTGACCCATTCCTGATGATGTTGTGTTATCAACATTTCCAGCAACTGGTCCTGGAGCTGGGGTGGGGTGAGTCCCCCCTGTGATGCCACAGAGGAGAACACCATTGAAATTATCATTCTGTAGATTTTTACAAATCAAGTGACATCTCCTTTACCTTTCTATCACTAACTTGCCCACAAAATGAGATTTTAGCACATTATACTTTCTAGTGCGCTTTAACATAAATGCTCTTACTACATTAAAGTGCACTAGGGACAAACACACAAATTACTAAACCATGGGGTTCAGTAACATGGAGAAAAAGGTTAAGTTCACATGTAAGTCATTTTTATACATATATAATGACATATAATAAAAATTAAAGTAGATCCTATTTAGGCAAGAATTTTGGGAAGTACCTGAAAAAAAAATCTTCTCATTCAGTATCAGTATTCCCCCCCTGATTTTTGGATATCCCCATAGAACATGAAAATTGCTAATAAAATAAACCCTGGAAAATGAAATTAATAAACCCCCCAAAATAGAAGCCTTGTGTACATTTTATAATTAGCAGGGCACAGGGGTTTTATTGCAAAGGGTATTGTAGTAGTGAGCTGTGTATATGAGAGCAGTCTAAACATTTATCTGCATGCACTCCAGGTAAAGTGAGTGTGGTCTGGATCAGGTGTATCTGTACTGAATGGTGGAGGCAGTAGGTAGTTCTGCTTTGTACAAGGGTATTTGTGACATCTATGGATTACTTTGAGGGTTATGACAGCTTCAGGGTGCAGTCTGCATCTTTTCTGTGCAGAATTGCATAGGTTGCATGAACAGCCTTAACTGTGCATTTCCTTGTTTTCAGTAGTTCTATATTTGCTCAACTCAGCATTCTGCAAAGGGGTGACATATCACCAAGCAATCTAAATCTTAACATAGTTTTTTGCCATAGGATTAATAATAATCTGTAGTAAAAGGTGCTTGGTTTACATCATCTTTCCTCATTTAATGGGACCAATTGCTTTTCTCACAGCTCTGATTATTTGTGATGTCAGTACTCCGGCAGTGTTCTCCTGAAAGACAACAAAAGTGATCTCACACAGGATAGTGGCTTAAAAAAAAGGGAGCAGTAGAGATCATTTGTCCTTCAGAAGAATCCATATCAGTTAGTGTAAAATGTATCCACTTGCTAAAGTGCTATGCACATATAAAATTCAGGTGGACCCTGAAAGATAGAAGTTTTGCATGGAAAAAATTTATTATAATGTACCAAATTAACATTGGTTAATCCACAGAAGCAGTGTACCAATGACACTTGTTTTAGTTCAATTAATACATTATTTCTCCTAAGAGAAGGTCTTAAATATCTGTCAAAGAGATTGAGATGCCATTTTCAAGATCTAGATGTAGTTTTAATATTTCTATTAGTTCAGTTGCAGTTAATTACTGTGTTTGCCTGTAATTATTATTTTATTATGAGTTTAAATGCGTTTTAGATGAAAGAGTAAAACTGTTTGTGGGAGCTTCTGTTGGTTTGAACTTTAGTTCCGGAGTACTAAATTATAGACTTATAAATGTAATCTTCATGATTATAATGTTTTCTATTTGACCTCCTACGGTAGTTCTTTAAATACAACAATCTACACATTTTTACACACTCATTTCAAAACCATTCAAAATGCCATAAAATTACTAATCTCCAATTATGGCAATAAAGCTTTTATGAATCTACCCATGTGAAGCTCTTGTTGGAATTTTATATTTCTGAACTTCCTATTTTATAGAATAAAAATATTTTAATACTGTAATTTTTACCTGTAAAATAGCTATTCTAAATAAATCTGCTTGGAATATTTAAAAAAAAATATATATGCACACACGTACTTTGGACTAGTAGGGGAATATAAAGATGCTCCTTTCCATTTGAACCCCTTCCAAAGACAATACTTCCAAGTTTCAAATTAATTTTTATTTGTATGCAACATAATTGCACTCTGCTATTTATAACAACTTCCTTGGAAGCAAAATATAGTGTAATAAAGTATTAACACATCAAATGTAAGAGTTTAACATATTTGGGGACAAAAGGGCCTCTGTTTTGAAATTATTAAATGGAGGAAGGTATGATAATTGTTGTCGTAACACCCAGAAACCTCAGTTAGAATTGGGGTCCCATTGTGTAAAGCATTGTACAAACATTCTGCCCTGAATTGATATATATGGTATATTTTAAACTAGACAGGATTTGTTCAAATAGAGATACTTTAAAGTATAAATGTACAAAACTGACCCATGTTGTCAGTCTGATTAAGCTCATAAGCTCCTTGAGGCCAGAGATGTCATCCTCTATATGTTGCTGTGCTCAGTGATGACACTCCATAAATAATGCAAACCTACCCCAATGAATGAATTTTGTCTAGTTTTCTAATTAGGTTTCACTCTGAAGGTCAAATTTTCTTTTATCTATTTCCAAATTAAACTTTGAATTTCTTCCTGAGTGTCTTGTTTGGTTCAGCATTATCAGATTTCTTCACAAGCTTTATCACCGAAACATCTTCTAATTGACACATCAACAGTTGTATTTTGCACCAAAAAAAAAAAAAAATTCTAATGCTGAAATTCCAAATCTAAACTAAAAAGTGGCTAAATAAGTGAAGAATTACACTATCTTTTCTGAGTAGCCCTCATCATCCTAGTTGACATTGACTAGAACTTCACTAGACATTCAAGATAAGTACTTGCTGAGGTGGTTTGCTGTATGGAATGGTAATACAGTTTTGGTTGCCATTGGGGAGGCAGCAAAGGTCAGCTACTACACACCTTGTACCACCATAAGATCTTCCAAGAACAACGATAAAACATTCTTAGTGTTGGTATTTGTCAGTTTTACAATTTTAAATATTTTTAGTTTCCATCCTAGTGTAAGGCATGATAAGATAAAATATTCCTCGCTGTAACTAAAGACAAAAATTATGTCTATGTAAAATTGTATTTTATTGTTCTGATAGAATTGAAATGAAAAAAAAAAGTATAAAAAGAGATCGTATTGCCAATTTTGTGGTTTTGAACTTGTCAAAAATTAACTGTATTTGAAATGCAAATAAGTTATCGTTCAATCGAGTACATAATGTGCTCTGAATTGGATATTAATCCATAAAATATTGTTATATATTATCTTTTACTATTGTTATTATATATCTTTGAACTATAACTATTTTGCTTTGTCAGAATTGAGCCACTTAAATTTTAGGTAACAATCCGAATCCAAGTGCATTGCCAAAATGCAGGGTATTAACTGAACATTTATTAATGTAAACCTAACACGGTAGTAATTGATATTAAGTTGTTCCTGTGACGCTGCACTCTATATAATTTTATGAAAATATGCTGATGAGTGTGAATATAATGTAACTAAAATATGCTTCATGCAAAAGGTCTCTTGTAAGGTATCATTACAAAGCTTATAATCTACTGAGTGTGGTCATCCTATTTGCATAAATGTATCACTCTTGTATCTGAAACTAGAAATATGAAATATAACTCTGAGGTCCTATTGTAATTATGCAAATTGTGGGCCATTAATGGTGGTTTGGAATCTTAATGGCTCCCATTAACCAGGACAGTTGTCTGTAGATGGCTCTGTTTTACTTGTAAGTCTTCCTGTATACGTGTGTGCTGGCAAGTGGGTAATGAAGTCTTAGTGACATGTGATCGTGTCACCTGAACTGGAATCCGTCTTTAACCTGGTGCTTTTCCATTGAGAAGGAGGAGTGGGAACCCAGAGAGGGGGTTTCTGTGGTCCAACCCGTCACAGTTCCCTTTGTCTTGAGTGGTCCAAAATAATCAATTTAAAGTTGTGAATCTATTCTCTTAGTTATGAACGATGAGTTATGTTAGCAAACATATGTAGTAAAGTGCTTAGTGTGCCCAATACCTAAATTTACAAGGGAATGAGCCTTGACTGTCTTTAGAAGCTCTAGTGCGACTTTAAAATTTCTTACTCCACAAACTAGCCTGGCTTTTTATTTCTTTGACTTTATTTTAATTTGGAGCTTTCACAGAAAAGTTTTCTGAAGGTATATTAACTTGTTTCATCCTTTTCAATAGGTTGTGAATGGATTCATGAGAAGTTTTGAGGTTAAAACAATTGGGCCAGGAGTTTAGTCAAAAAAATTGACTAATGTTTACCTTGAAAGTATTGCAGTCTAGAGAGGCTTCTGTGTTCTAAATCTAGGGACCAAACCTGAGAACAATTATTTACTTGAATAATAATACTCTTATGCGTTGTTCCACTTAAATAATGGACTTGTGTGTGTTTACAAAATCAGGTTCTTAGTTTTGTTTTGTTTTTTCTTTAAATGTATCACTCTGTATCCAATTTATTTTTAAGAGGAACACAGTCAGCCTGAAAAGTCAGAATTGTATCTAAAAATGTTGTACCTAATATCACAACAGCTAACTTCAAAAATTACTGAATGAGAATTTCACTGTTTCCTCTGAATAGTCAGTTTTGTTTGTGTGAGTAATAGTGAAATGACTAAAACCATAGAAATTGGCAGGGAACTCAGGCAGCTGTAATACCTACATGACTTTTAATTTACTTTTTTTTAATTGACTATCTTTCAAGTTGACAGAGTTCTTTTACAAAGCTTTAATCAACTTATAGCTGTCCTTTAGTTCTCTCACAATCATTCAGCTCTCCAGGATAAATTTCCCTTCAGAGATGTTTAGTTCAGCTCTTTAATTGACTTGAAGGGGTTGAGTGACCTAAGACCTTCCCAGAGGGCTGGGCACAGTACATCTGTAGTGCTTCCAGACCCTGAAATTATTCATATGTACTAAGAAATATTATGAAATTGGATGATGCTATTCAATAACAAGCTGTCTTTTTTGACAGTCTCTCTTTTATTACAGGCATTGGATCAAGACAGAACTGCACTACAGAAAGTGAAAAAGTCTGTAAAAGCAATATATAATTCTGGGCAAGGTAAGTGTTTTTGGTCTTACGTGAGAATCTAAACCATTGTATTAAATAATGTTTACAAAGTTTGCTTTGCTGTTCGTTGCATATTAAGCTTAAAGAGTAGGTGATGCCTGCCTCTTCCACAATACAAGTTGCTGAGAGTACACCTCTGCCCCCCTGACACCTCATTGGAAACCGTGTATTTCAAGGATGTCATCCTGATTCCCCCCCCCCCCCCCAAGCTCCCTATTGAACTGATCCTGCCTTCCTGGGTGGGGGGAGGAGAGAGAAAGAGACTTTTTCTCATTCTGTGCTACCATGACATCTCACAACAAGTATATTCCACTGGAACAGCAAAACTGTTGACCAGAAGAGACCTGTTACAGCAGGAGACTGAACCCTGGATCAAGATTATTACCACATGAAATGAGAACGACCATTAACTTCCTCACCATCAGAACTAAAATGCAAAACCTACCCTTTTGCCCAAGCTTCACAACATTAGTAACCTTACACCATCGCTCTCTCTCCTATATTAAATAATAATGTACAGAAAATGAAAACACTGTGCGTCTTGTCAGCAGCGGGAGGAGGGAGGGGAGATTTGCCATTTTTTGCCCCTTAAAGGAACTTGGATACAGTGATAATGGGCACCAATATAAGAACCTGGATGAATGGCTAGAATGCAAATATGTCATGAAATTTTGTCCCTTTTGAAGTCTGTACTTTACAAAATCTCCATTAATGAATTTTATTATTCATAGATTCATAGATTCTAGGACTGGAAGGGACCTCGAGAGACCATCGAGTCCAGTCCCCTGCCCTCATGGCAGGACCAAATACTGTCTAGACCATCCCTGATAGACATTTATCTAACCTACTCTTAAATATCTCCAGAGATAGAGATTCCACAACCTCCCTAGGCAATTTATTCCAGTGTTTAACCACCCTGACATTTAGGAACTTTTTCCTAATGTCCAACCTAAACCTCCCTTGCTGCAGTTTAAGCCCATTGCTTCTTGTACTATCCTTAGAAGCTAAGATGAACAAGTTTTCTCCCTCCTCCTTATGACACCCTTTTAGATACCTGAAAACTGCTATCATGTCCCCTCTCAGTCTTCTCTTTTCCAAACTAAACAAATCCAATTCTTTCAGCCTTCCTTCATAGGTCATGTTCTCTAGACCTTTAATCATTCTTGTTGCTCTTCTCTGGACCCTCTCCAATTTCTCCACATCTTTCTTGAAATGCGGTGCCCAGAAATGGACACACTACTCCAGTTGAGGCCTAAAACCAGCGCAGAGTAGAGCGGAAGAATGACTTCTCGTGTCTTGCTCACAACACACCTGTTAATGCATCCCAGAATCATGTTTGCTTTTTTTGCAACAGCATCACACTGTTGACTCATATTTAGCCTGTGGTCCACTATAACCCCTAGATCCCTTTCTGCCGTACTCCTTCCTAGACAGTCTCTTCCCATTCTGTATGTTGAAACTGATTGTTCCTTCCTAAGTGGAGCACTTTGCATTTGTCTTTATTAAACTTCATCCTGTTTACCTCAGACTATTTCTTCAATTTGTCCAGATCATTTTGAATTATGACCCTATCCTCCAAAGCAGTTGCAATCCCTCCCAGTTTGGTATCATCCGCAAACTTAATAAGCGTACTTTCTATGCCAATATCTAAGTCATTGATGAAGATATTGAACAGAGCCAGTCCCAAAACAGACCTCTGCGGAACCCCACTCGTTATACCTTTCCAGCAGGATTGGGAACCATTAATAACTACTCTCTGAGTACGGTTATCCAGCCAGTTATGCACCCACCTTATAGTAGCCCCATCTAAGTTGTATTTGTCTAGGTTATTGATAAGAATATCATGCGAGACCGTATCAAATACCTTACTAAAGTCTAGGTATACCAAATCCACCGCTTCTCCCTTATCCACAAGACTTGTTATCCTATCAAAGAAAGCTGTCAGATTGGTTTGACATGATTTGTTCTTTACAAATCCATGCTGGCTATTCCCTATCACCTTACCACCTTCCAAGTGTTTGCAGATGATTTCCTTAATTACTTGTTCCATTATCTTCCCTGGCACAGAAGTTAAACTAACTGGTCTGTAGTTTCCTGGATTGTTTTTATTTCCCTTTTTATAGATGGGCACTATATTTGCCCTTTTCCAGTCTTCTGGAATCTCTCCTGTCTCCCATGATTTTCCAAAGATAATAGCTAGAGGCTCAGATACCTCCTCTATTAGCTCCTTGAGTATTCTAGGATGCATTTCATCAGGCCCTGGTGACTTGCAGGCATCTAACTTTTCTAAGTGATTTTTAATTTGTTCTTTTTTTATTTTATCTTCTAAACCTACCCCCTTCCCATTAGCATTCACTATGTTAGGCATTCCTTCAGACTTCTTGGTGAAGACCGAAACAAAGAAGTCATTAAGCATCTCTGCCATTTCCAAGTTTCCTGTTACTGTTTCTCCCTCCTCACTGAGCAGTGGGCCTACCCTGTCCTTGGTCTTTCTCTTGCTTCTAATGTATTGATAAAAAGTCGTCTTGTTTCTCTTCATTCCTGTAGCTAGTTTGAGCTCATTTTGTGCCTTTGCCTTTCTAATCTTGCCCCTGCATTTCTGTGTTTTGCCTATATTCCTCCTTTGTAATTTGTCCTAGTTTCATTTTTTATATGACTCCTTTTTATTTTTTAGATCATGCAAGATCTCGTGGTTAAGTCAAGGTGGTCTTTTGCCACATTTTCTATCTTTCCTACCCAGCCGAATAGCTTGCTTTTGGGCCCTTAATAGTGTCCCTTTGAAAAACTGCCAACTCTCCTCAGTTGTTTTTCCCCTCAGTCTTGATTCCCGTGGGACCTTACCTATCAGGTCTCTGAGCTTACCAAAATCCGCCTTCCTGAAATCCATTGTCTCTATTTTGCAGTTAGTTATATTATTGTTTTGCCTGTAATGATATATGAACAGTGACATTCAGGGGAGTCGAGTATCAGGGGGAAGCCGTGTTAGTCTGTATCCACATTTTTATTCAGGGGAGTCTAGATCTCTGTAGCGATGCAGGACTCACCAGCACAGCGCTGCCTGCTGGTCGTCTGGCAATTAGCTCTTTTCCAGCATATGGAGCGCCCTTTGCAGGCCGATGTCTCACCTGCCGCTGGCCCCGTGTCCCTCCCGGACCCCAATGCCCCTTACCTTGGGGTTCTGCCCACCGCAGTACCTCCACTCTCTGGGTCTCCCCTCCCAGGGGAACCCCAACCCTCTAAAGCCACTTTGCCTCAGTGGCTATTGCCAGTCATCATCTAGCCCCCACTCACTGGGGCAGACTGCAGTCTGTAATGGCCACTCATCATTGGCAAGTGGGTAGGACCTGCTGCCTTTGCCTATTCCCAGGCTGTATCTCTGCAGCCCCAGTACCTCTGTAGACCTTCAACAAGGCCTGCAGCCTGGGGTTTTACCAGGCTGGAGCTCCCTTGCCCTATTCCCCAGCACTGCTCTAGTTCAGGTACCTTCCTCTCAGGCAGCTAGCCCTTCTCCCTCCAGGGCTGGAGGGAGACTCCCTCAGCTCCTGGCCCCCAGCCCTCTTATCAGGGCCAGCTGAGCTCTAATTGAACTGGCCACACCTGTGATCAGCCATGCCCTCAGCTGTTTTCACTGCTTTTTCCAGCCACAGCCCTCTCCAGGGCTGCTTTTAACCCCTGTTCTGTGGGAGTGGGGCAGCTGCCCCACTACAATCTCATACCAGATTCTGAAGGGTTCTGAGAAAGAAGAGCTCAAATGTTTGTGTGTATCACAAATCCTCTTTACTGTTGAAACATTAAAGGCAAGGGATTTTTCTTCTGTTAGTAAAAGAATTCAAGTCAGTTTAAACGTCACACCAACCTGTTTGAGAAGCTTTTTGCAGATGCCCCTCCAACTTGTTAGGTACTTCTGGAATAGTCAGATAGCTTCCAACTCACAAATCCAATCTTTTGTCTCACTGAAGATGGTACCTGAAGTCAGTGGAAAAAATTTTTGGATAGCTTTCCAATAACACTCGGTTGAATTTTAGTGGCATTGAATTGCATCATAAATAATAGTGTAAGTTTTCAATAGCCTTTTCCTATTAATTCAATTGAATGGCTAATCTCCAAAAGCTAATCTCCATTAACTTATAGAGAGGCTTTAAGCAAGAATGCAACATAATTTACAATGGAAAAATGTTCAATGGTGCGTGCATCTGTATGCGGCAAACTAATTCTTGCAGTTCTCATCTCAGTTTTTTATGGATGTGTGTGGTCCACAAAAAAGGACCACATGTTTGGTTTAAAAATGTGAAGATATTTTAAATTGTATTGCAACAAGAAAATAATTTTAAGTGGAACTGGAAAGTAGTAAGATGAGGAATTAACTAATGTATTTATTTCACATTCCCACTGAGGAAGAGAATGAGACAGATGATTTAATCTCAGCATGCCACCAGCTAACAAGGAGCTTTTTGTGCTACAGTGGGGGAGAAAAGTGAGAACTAGGAAAAGGGGTTAGAGCAGTGTGTACTAGCTGATAAAACATCTTTCAAAATGAGTTGGATCAGTGCTGCTCTTCCTTGACTTAGTTATGAATCATAGAATATTAGGGTTGGAAGAGACCTCAGGAGATCATCTAGTCCAATCCCCTGCTCAAAGCAGGACCAACACCAACTAAATCATCCTAGCCAGGGCTTTGTCCTTTTTTTGGTGCATCTCTTCTCTTGCCTTCTCCTGGTGCTCATAGATGGATCATGGAAATGCTAAGAAGAAAAATAGTAATTCCTGTTTCAACTCTTCAACTGTTCTACCCTTCTCACTTTCTCCCCTTCTTTTCATTATTTGTGTCCTACAGTCCTGCTGATGAAAATTCCTAATTCTTTATGTTCATTTAAAAAAAAAAGTGAACCAAGGTTTTTTTGTCAGACATATCTACAGAGAAAATTGATATGGATAGATCCCCTGTACAAATTGAAGCAGAACTATAGAAGTAGTTCAGACTACATTTAAAA